TATATATATATATATATATAATTTATGCCTTTACCTTTATCTTATAATTTAAATCAAACCAATTCAATTTTTACCATATTAATTTGGTTTGGATTAGTGGAAGAAAAAAATGAGAAAAACTAAATTTTTATTTCGTCATCCTAAACTTTTTTTGTGTGTAAAATAGTGCCAACAAGGTCAGAAGATAAAATCTTGTAAACCACTCAAATCAATCGGAGGTTTTTTTCTTATCCTAAACTAATCACCAAATCTCATATAAAGAGCTCTTAACACTCCATTGTTTATTTTTAAGTTATATACTTTAATTTTAAATTGTTAATTATTAAGTATAATTGAAATATAATATGAAATTAATCTTAACTAATTTTATAAAGGTGATAAAATTAATTGTCTCTTGACTCCAATTAAATTTAAAAGAACTTTTAACACTCTATCGTTTATTTTAAAGTTATATACTTTATAAATCTTTCTTATCTTTACAAAAATAAAAATTAATCTTAACTAATTCTACAAAGATAATAAAGTTGAGTAAGTTTCTTTACTCCTATTAATTAAGATATAAGATTGAAATTGACTTTCACTAATTTTTTCTTATAACTAGAAATAAAATAAAAAATACGAATAATCGTAATTATAGTCCTTGGATTGGAACGTGCACCAAAAAATTAGTTTTGAGGTATAGCCAGACAATTACTTCACTATTAGTTGTCCCTTGAATGTTTACACTTTACATTGGTTAGAAAACAAGAAAATGATCTTTTGTAATTGTCCCTATTCGAGCATTGATAAACCCAACGTCACGTAAAAGAATACATTACAATTTACAAACGATAAAATACAATTTTACAGCTTTATATTCTGCAATTTAGTTTTGGGTGCAAGCTTTTGTTCACCATATAATATGGTTAGCAGCAGCAGCTCCGTAACGGTGGGATTTGGCCTCTTGTTTTGTATAGGTTTCTATAACATGCATATTGATATTGCATGTAGCAGAGGCAATTCCTTGAACAAAACGTCATTCTAGTCTCATACTAAAACACTATATATTACTTTTTCACTCACTCTTTGTTTTCATCTAACATCTTCTATACATAGTGCTTTGCTTTTAGGAGACACCTCCATCTCAAGCTGTGTTGAATAATTTTATCCGAGGTAAGGGTTGTACTTTTTGATTAACTATGCAGCATAATGAGTTAAAACTGACCAACTTTATTTCAATGATTTTCTTGCTTTTTGGTTTTTAACATGTCAATTCCTAGCTTGATTTGTTGCCAGTGAATCCCTCAACTGAATTACAATGGCTGAGGAAGATTTTTACACAAAAGATGGAACAGTAGATTACCGTGGAAATCCTGCTAACAAAAAGGAGACTGGAACCTGGAGAGCCTGCCCCTTTATTTTAGGTAACCATTGTGCATCTCCATTCTAAACAATTAATGTTTTGGGGGTTAAGAAATTGATTTGACCAATTTGCAGGAAATGAATGTTGTGAGAGATTAGCATACTATGGGATGAGCACAAATCTTGTGACTTATTTCACTAATCAACTAAATCAGCATGGCGCTACTGCTTCCAAGAATAATGCAAATTGGGGTGGAACATGCTACATCACTCCATTGATTGGAGCATTTGTGGCTGATGCCTATCTCGGAAGATATAAGACCATTCTTTGTTTTTCAATAGTTTATGTTATTGTGAGTATAGTCTCTTTAATTTTTACTTGTTTACTGTTAGGAAAAATGGTGGAGTCCAGAAGAGTGGGTGAGAGAATCAAAATATTGAAATGAAATGAAAATGAGATAATTAGGTCAAGTCATCCATTTGGCTTATATTGTAGGAGATTCCATGTTGACTTGTAATATGGTCAAAATAATATATATAAGAGAAATTTTCACCTTAAAAGTTGGTTTTGTGACATCAAGTTAGATTTAATCTCACAATCTTAAGATGGTACAAGAGTTTATTCTAGCAATTGTTGTTGGGTCTATAAGATTACTCATTATCAAACTGTTATTGGACCACTTAAATATGTATAGTTAGTCTTATAAACTTCACATCAAGATATTTAGTTCTTAACGTGAGGAATGTCTGAAAGACCCAACTCAACTAGTGGTATAACAAAAATAATGTATATAATGAAACAACCTTCACCTAAAAAGTAAGTTTTATGTAACTGAGTTAAGCTTAATTCCACGTTCTTTAAGATATATAAAATGTGAGAAGTAACAAAGTCACATACAGAAGATCAATAGTCATGACTTATGTGCACAATCCATATATCTTCTTGATTGATAAGGAATATCTGAAAATCTTTTCTCTTCTGCATAGGGAATGACACTCTTGACATTGTCTGCATCAGTTCCTGGCCTAAAACCAACCTGTGATCCAGAAGGCAATTGCCATGCTACTCAGGGACAGAGTGCAGCGTGCTTTGTGGCCCTTTACCTTATAGCCCTTGGCACTGGTGGGATCAAGCCTTGTGTTTCATCATTTGGTGCAGACCAATTTGATGATGCTGATGAAGCTGAGAAGGAGCACAAGAGTTCTTTCTTCAACTGGTTCTATTTGTCAATAAATATTGGTGCTCTTGTTGCTGCTTCTTTGTTGGTGTGGGTACAAACTAGTGTTAGTTGGGGTTTGGGATTTGGCATTCCAGCAGTGGCCATGGCAATTGCTGTGGTGAGTTTCTTCTCAGGTACAAAATTGTATCGAAATCAGAAACCAGGAGGAAGCCCCCTCACTCGCATTTGTCAGGTTATAGTGGCATCCATTAGAAAGTTTGATGTTGAAGTTCCTAATGATAAGTCTGCCTTATATGAGATAGAAGAAGACTCAGAGTCAGCTATCCAAGGAAGCCGCAAACTTGACCATTCAAATGGATTAAGGTAAACCATTTGTAACAAAATTCTTTGTTTATTCCTCTTATTCATAAATTTTACCACTTACCAACACACCTTTTGATAATTTCTTTTGGGTAAATTGTCATGTAGGTTCCACTATTAGAGAGTGAGTGTAAGTAATGTAGTAATATCCGTGCTAAAATTTAACCAATAATAAAGAGGGTTGAAAATACTAGAAGTAACTTTGATGTTACACACTTCTTTCTAAGCATAGGAAGATAGTACTTTAGCCAATACTCATGCCATTTCACATGCTATCTTATCAAATCATGACAATTTTATATATTTATGATAATTAGTCTTCCAAATGCTTTGGTGGGACTATAATTCTTGCAAACCATAAAACATTTGTTACTGTTTCTGTTAACCTATAGACAACAACCTATTTTCTGAGGCACAAAAGACAAATAAAGAAAGACATTGCCCTGTTGCTTTATCTAGTTTTTATTCACATTTACCTCTTGTGTGTAACAGATTCTTTGACAAAGCAGCAGTGCTAGAAAATTCAGATAATGTGAAGGACCCGGTAAACCCATGGAGGGTTTGCACTGTGACTCAAGTGGAAGAGCTGAAAGCTATTATAAGATTGCTTCCTATATGGGTCACTGGCATCATATTTTCTACTGTTTATAGTCAAATGGGAAGCTACTTTATACTGCAAGGGAAAACCATGGATAACCATGTCCATGTGGGCAACAAAATTTTAAATATCTCACCAGCTACTCTTTCTGTCTTTGATACCATTAGTGTCATCTTTTGGATCCCAGTGTATGACAGGATCATTGTGCCAATAGCAAGAAGGTTCAGTGGCCGCAAAAATGGCCTAACTCAGCTCCAAAGAATGGGAATTGGCCTTTTCATATCCATATTTTCTATGGTGTATGCAGTAATTTTGGAGAGCATGAGACTTAAAATGGTGAGGAGACACAATTATTATGAACTTACGGAGGTCCCCATGTCAATGTTTTGGCAGATTCCACCATATTTTATCATAGGTTGTGCTGAGGTGTTCACTTTCATTGGTCAGTTAGAGTTCTTCTATGAGCAAGCCCCTGATGCCATGAGGAGCACGTGTTCTGCTCTCCAACTCCTCACTGTTGCATTTGGATCGTACTTGAGCTCTTTGCTTATAACAATTGTGACAAATGTCACTACTAGGAATGGTAATCCTGGATGGTTACCTGATAAACTGAACTATGGTCACCTTGATTATTTCTTCTTGCTATTGACAGTGTTAAGTGCACTGAATTTTGTTGCGTTCCTTATGGTGTCAAAGTTGTATACGTATAAAAAATCAGTTGGAACTCTTCGCTGAAAACTTGATTAATTTGTACAAAGGTTGTTCAAATTATGCAGTTTCAATATGCCTTTTGCCTTGTTAGGTAAGTGTTATTTTCTGGTGCATGCAACTAGGTGGAGCTGCACATTAGAAAGTTTTCTTCCCTATTATCTGTTTTCCACCTTGTGTTACACCATCAACTATGCTCAAAATCAATATATGAAGTTCTTATTATTGTTACAATATGTATATATATACCCCTTCTCCCCTTCTTTGTAATATACACAATAATATTACTCAATACACATATTACTTTTCTCCTTTTTCTATTTTTCTCTCTTCTTCACATGGTATCAAGAGCTTTGGCTTAATCCTCCACCCCCCGCCGCCTTCGTCTCCCAAGGCCGCCACCCCTGCTTCCACGTCGCCGCGTCTCCGCCCACCTCCGTGGCGCCTGCACCCACCACCAAGCCTTCAGCTGCCTCCCTTCCGGCTTCCACGCCGCCGCGTCTCAGCACACCTCCGTTCCGCCTGCACCCAGCCGCCGCACGCGCCGCCACGTGCCGTCCCCGTCTTCAACCTCCAAATCCACCCACGCGTCTTTCGATCTGCAGCCTTACAGCCACCACCAGCTCACACGGACACCACCACTGGTCTCGCCTTCCCCAGATCGGCCCGACCCCGAAGTCTCGTTATCATCCGCTGCCGGACGCGCTGCCACGCGCCTCCACGCACCGCCACCGTTGAGTGGCCAGGTTTTTCAAAAAAAAAAAAAAAAAAAAAAAAAAAAAAAAAAACCTCTATTAATTCTTCATTTCTTAGCTTCATTTTACCAAATTTTTTTTTTCGTATAGCCTAATTTTCTGAATTATTATGTCACATTTGGATGTTGTTCACCCTATTCTTATTATACTTGATGGCACCAATTATAATCATTGGGTTGAAGCTATGCGTGGTTTTCTTAAGGGACGTCGACTTTGGCGTTATGTGACTGGTGACATTACCTGTCCTACCTCTGAAGTAGTTGATCAGTTGAGTGTTGATGCTCGTGCCAAATACATTGATCAGTTAGAAGAATGGGATAGTAAAAATCATCAGATTATTACTTGGTTTCGCAATACCTCTGTTGCTGGAATTCACTTGCAATTTGGGAAATTTGACACTGCCAAAGAAGTATGGGATCACTTGGCACATCGTTATACTAGTCGTGGTCTTGCTCGCAGGTACCAACTTGAGAAGGATCTCCATGCTCTTAAGCAAGCTCCGGGTCAAGGTGTCTTTGATTTTTTGGCTAAAATGGAAGCTATATGGGATCAATTAGCGGTATGCGAACCCAAGTTACACAACAAGGATGACATTACGAGCTATGCTGCATATCGAGATGGTACTAAACTCATTGAGTTCCTGATGGCCTTGACTGATGATTATGAGCCTGTTCGTGCTTCACTATTACATCAGGAACCTCTCCCTACTCTTGAAGATGCTCTTCCTCGCCTTCAGTCTGAGGAAACTCGTCTAGGCCTTCTTTGTGCCAAATCTGATATGGCCTTTGCTGTTTCTACTTCTAAGGGCAACTACTGTGGCAATTGTCGACAATCTGGTCATGTCTACATTGAGTGTCCCATTATTGAGTGTCATCATTGCAGAAAGAAGGGGTATATATATACATATTGTCATCATTGCAGAAAGAAGAGACAATTTGTTCAATTGATGAATATAATCTGAGTTGCCATTTTTCGAACGAAGAAGAAAAAAAATTTATATTATTCAAAATCAAAATTGAACCTGATAAATGACATTTGAAATACCCGTACAATATTTAAACATTAGGATAAATATCCAATAAAAATTCTTAATTTTTTTTCATATATAATTTGTGAATAATTTATACATAGGATACTGATTCTATAACCTAGAACAACCATAATTTGTATCTTAATGGCTCTGATACCAATTGAAAAGAACGGATACTTGCCAGGACAAGGATTAGGCAAGGACTCCCAAGGAATCCCGGAGCTACCCATTATCAAGGACAATCCGGGAAAACAAGGGTTAGGATACAACCCTGTTAAAGATCAAAGAACGAAGAGGAATCAAGATCCTTCTCGACGTTCTTTAAGCCATAAAAGACAAGAATGATGAAATGATTCTCACTAGTCTTCAATTAAATGCACTAATATGAGGCATTTTCCTTGAAGTCAAAACAAGTGAACACCTGATCAAATTTCAAATACCATTATATTTGGTCTTCTCAAGAAGAGACAAATACTAACCCTTTTGAATTTTGTCAAAAGTCTTAAATTTCTCACCAACTAATCTCAAAAAATCCTTAGCCTTATCATTTTCTAGAATGTTCTGTCGAATAGACTTCTCCATGGTGTATTTCATCACCATCAGACACACCCTATTTGAGTGTTCCCATTTCTCATGAGAAGTTCTTTAGACAATAGTGGACTTAAGAGTAAGAGTTAGAGACTCTTTCTCTCTTAAGAAAAAGTCCATATTAGTAATTGTCATATATAAGTCCAGAGATTCATTTTGGTCCTCAAAATTTGTCCCATTCAATATTTTGACCAAAGTCAATTGCATAGGCAAAGAAGCTGGTATCCAAACAACAAAGAAACATTTAATATACATAGTTATTATGCAATAAAAAATTAAATGTTTCTGAATACACAGTCAAACATGCCTATAATATAAAAAAATTCTCATTCATTATGATCCCGCCTAAGGGTCCCGAACCATAATAAATAAGAAATACAAAATAAGAAATACAAAATACAACGCATAACTTATGTCAGAAAAAAAAAAATCTAATACCGATAGGGTACTTGACAAATAATTGACATAAGATAAAAAAAAATATATATATTGTATCATAATACCAAAATACATTAACAACAAAATACTGATAGGGCACAATTATTGTTAATGTAATAAAATTAATTAGAGAAATAATTAAATTATTTCATTCACACAAATTTCATATAATTGTACCCACGATAGGTGAGCTCACAATCATATAAAATTATATTACTCATGCTTAACAAGATATAATAAAATTATATTATGCATGAACAACATATGAAATAAATTCAAAACAAACAACTATTAATACAATTAAGGGTCAATTTTTTTTTTAACTCAAGTATATATATATGCTACCAGGGAGAGTACAACATACTTACATGTCACTGAGATAACAATAAACATATATATAAAAAATTTTCAGACCCAAATCCCAAGAGTACAATATTTAAAATTAAGATAAAATTAAGTTTTATTCTTGGAATAATTAAAAAAAATAGTTATAGGTAAAAAATATACCTAATATCATAAAATTAATTATTTAAATTTAAAATAAAAATATAATTTTTTTTTTATCAAAATAGGGTCTCACGTGTCTAGCTCTACGAGTGAATAGGCACGCACGGATAGGCACGCGCATTATTTTTCATCTTCTCCCTCACTTGGTAAATAGAAAACGGGTCGTTCGACCCATAACAAAAATTCAGCGCAAAACCACCATTACAGGCAACGACAAACTACGATTTTTTGACCAAATGATTGCCCCTTCATGGCAATCCAAAACCCCTTATCAATTTCGGGAATAATCAGTTCAAATGAAGACAATTTCAAATATAAGAAATTGGGGTTTTGAATATATTCGCGACAAAAAAGAGACAAAAAATTTGTCAGATGTTTCAATCAATTCTTTCTCAAAATGTGCAGATTTATTCAACATCCAGAGGTAAATAAAAGTCCCCAATCAATTGCAATGAATAATCATTGAAAAAAGAGAAAAAAAAACCAATCTAAATTGCTCACTGAATAGAACAAGCTCAGAAAAAATTGCACAAGGTTTGAAATTCATATAGAAAGAAAACCCCTTTGACAATTTGTTCAATTGATGAATATAATCTGAGTTGCCATTTTTCGAACGAAGAAGAAAAAAAATTTATATTATTCAAAATCAAAATTGAACCTGATAAATGACATTTGAAATACCCGTACAATATTTAAACATTAGGATAAATATCCAATATAAATTCTTAATTATTACTTTTCTCCTTTTTCTATTTTTCTCTCTTCTTCACAATTATAAGTGCTTTTATTCACGGTATGTGTCAGATCTTTCTCATCAGCATTCAGCATGGTTTTATTTGATTCCCAATAAGCTTACAATGCAGCTCATAATCGAGTAAACACAGTTTCATCTCAGAAAGTTAAATTCTCGAGAGAACTAATACTTTCTAATATCCAAAGAAATAACTTGTTTGCATATGGAAGATTGACTCCAGTAAGTTCAGAGAATAGCAAAACCAAAACAATTTCAATTTGGATAACTTTCGATTTCAAAATCTGTTTACAGATATTGCTCAGAGGCAAAAAATCTATCATAAATCTAATTATCACAATGTTTGTTACTTGGGGCATGTGTAACACACCTATCAATTTAAATTCATTTTCTTTTTGTAGTAATGTATTTTTTTTTTAATGTTTATCATCCCACTAGGATTGATTGACTGAATGGTGAAAGAATTTGGATCTTCTACTCTGACAATTATACTTTTAGCATCGTTCGTTTATTAAACAAAGTTAAATTATACAAATATTTTAGCTTGTTTAATTATATTTTACGGGTTAATCACCTATACACTGCTAGTGTAAAATTTTTTTACACTGACAACCAATCATATATCTCAATAGTGTCATGTCATTTGCTCATTTAATCAAATAAAAGTAAAATAAAATAATTTAAAAGATATGATTGGTTATCAGTGTAAAAAACTTTACAATGACAGTGTATGAATGATTAACTAATTTAATATTATAACTTTCTTCTTGTAAAAGGATTAGAGGTAGTACACAGGATTATTGTTTTTTTAAAGAAAGAATTGGAGGTAGTAGATAGGATTAATGTTTTTTTTTTTTTAAAAAAGAACACATCTATTTTTATTTAAAACAATTATGTTTAAATCGAATAAGACCACTTTAAATGATAAAGTTCTTTTAACATAATTTCATATCCAAAATTTGAACTTAAAATCTCTTATTAAACTAAAATAACTACATAAATAAATTGATGTTTATTTTATATAACTAAAATTTATAATAAATGAATATTTTAACTATATAAATATATTATAATTAAATTTTATAAATATTTTGAGCACATGAATTATATTTTAAATTTATGATACGTAATTACATTGTGATAGAAATTATTTTTAACTTGATTTTTTAAGAGAGTATTAAAATTTAATTTAAAATAAAGTTAAAAATAATAGATTAAAAGATGTAAGAGGTTAGAAAAAGAAAATCCTTAAAAATACTCGTATTCAAGAAAAACTTCTTAAAACATGATTGTTGTTTAAAACACTCACTCAAAATACTTATTCACATATATATAGAGAGAGGACAGAGACTTTATTTGAGAGAAACTTAATTTCTTATTTTAATTTTCTTCAAAAACTAATTTATGTCATCTTCATTTTATAATATATATATATATATATATATATATATATATATATAAAGAGGATTATAATAATATCGATATAATTTTTACTAAGTATTACAACACTCAATAACTTTATATTAAATGTGTGTTTTGTAAATCTAATCGTTAGATTAAAAATCCATATCACTTTACATGTTTATATCAAATTTTGTTAAAATTGAACAACAACGTGAAGGTAATCAAAGTATTCATATTTTAGTATATTTTGAAATAAATATATTACGTCAATTTTATTTTATAAGAATGAAGTATCAAATCATCTTGAATTAATATAAAATTTTGTATATATGATCTAAGAGTAAAGAACTTTCAATCTAAGAGTATTATTATAACCCTCCTCTATACCCTAAACCCTAATAACATTGTAAATTTTTAATTTCATAAAAAATAACATTGTAACTTTTTTTAAAATTTTAAAAATTGCTAGAATGCAAGAACTATGACTCGTAAGTTATGCTATGAAATCCAAAAGAAATTGGAGGAAATACGGGTGAGAAACACACAGGGTCATCCACTCATAAAAATCAATAGCATATATATTTTTTTTTGTATAACATGTAAGGCATGGGCTCACACCAAAATGGTCACACAATATCCAAAACCTTTCCGGGCCTTGACGAGCTGACCCACACTACTAAACCACGTCATCGCCATCATTTGTTCATCCAATGATCCAAGCCTCACTTTCGCAATGCCTCGTAAGCGCTTTCCGGTGCCGGAACCCAAAACAGGTACCTTTCCTTCAACCCACACAAAAATTTTAATAACAATAAACATCTTCACAAATTCCGCGTTAACCCATTTCCCCATTACACGTGGGTCAAAGTTTTCGTAGAAGCCAACTATGCGCACAAGGTGTTTGATGAAATGTCTCAGACAATAATCTTACATCTTTGATAAAATTTTGTGCACCCATTTTTGTTCCAACGCAGGTCTACAGCATTTCCTGAAGAAAATAGGGTTGGGGAAGGAGAACTACTACTTCTGGAAGCAGATTGGAAAGGCTTTGCTTTGCACGTACGCAGTGTTTGGGGCTGCGTGGGTGTACAACGAGACATCGCCACTGGGATGGTGGACACTGGTGCCAATGCCAAAGGAACAGAAAGAGCTGGCTCACTTGTACGAGAGGAGGATGTATCCTTACCCGGGTGATGAAGAGGCCATGCAGGAGTTCATTGCCAGGGGTGGAATGATTGGAACAACCATTGGTCCCAAAGGGATGGTTGAGAGTGATAAGGATGACAGTGACTACAAGAAGGACCTCAAGGACAAGAAGTTTGAGCAGGAGGCTCAGAAACTGTGGTTGAGGATGAGGAATGAGGTCGTTGCTGAGCTTCAGGAGAAGGGCTTTGATGTGGAATGAACGAAGAATGAGTGAAGTGACTACGCAAAACTATTGATGGTAGTATGTAACTAAATATTGAGTTTGCACTTTTTGTGTGTTTGGATATTGTAATTTCAATAAATCATCATGGGAGAGGGAAGAGGCTGATTAGTCTGTTTGTCGTTCTCTGTTGATGGGTATGTATGTGACTTAAAATTTTTTTCCCAGCAATTTCACTTGTTATATTATACTGGTCTCTGTTTTCTTATTTTTATCTTTCCAAAATCCAGGCAATGGGAGTGCAACAAGCTCTTGGACTAGTTTAGATATCTTTCCTTTTTAGGGGAAGAAAATTAAAAATAAAATAAACCAAATTTCTATAAATTAAATTTAACTTGTGTAACTCAGTTTTTTGAAAAGGAAAAAAAATAGAAAAATGGGAACTTCTAAAAAAATTAAAATGTGCAAATTAATTTTAACTTATGAGAAAAGTTTGATACGATTTACTTTCTTTTTTTTGTCTTGTAAGAAATTATTAAGACTTCTTCCAAACAAGTACTTGGTAAGTAAGTGAATATTCTTCCATCGTGCTAGCATCTATGAATCTAATATAATATTGAGAAAAATAACATTATACAAATTTGCCTCCAAAAATGTGAATTTACTCGTACTTCTGCTAAAAGCATCATGGAAATGAGACTTACAACTTGCAAGTCAAAAGGTTGTGCTTTTTGTTCCGAAGCACTTTCATTAGTCAGATTTCTTTTCTAATTCACAATACTATGGTATGGCCACAACATCATTCGAAGACTAGTGAAAAGTTAAGTGCTTTATGAAAAGCAGACAGAGTTTCAATTTACCAACGCTAACATCATGGTCAACATGATGATGCATTATTGATTCCATTCATCAGAAAAACCTCCGGCTATTAGAAGAAAACACAAAGTAAGTCAAAAAGAAAATATTTCAAAACCAACAGTCAATTATAAATGTCATGAATTAACTTTAGAATGATTATTATTTACTTATTTCTTATCCATCGAAATTATAATAACAAAAATAAAATTCAAATTTGAGATGTTCTAACTCTCTATCACTAGGTAAACTTAATGATCTTGGCAATAAATAAGAAATAGAGATAATTATTGATATAACAAGATGTTTTATAAAAAAATATTATGTAAATAATAAATGAAAACAGTACCAGAAAATTCAGAATGACTAGTGAGCTAGCTGACCTTGCAATAAATTTAGAATCACCTTGTACGAGACCATGGCCATATTTCCAAAATCCTAACATCATATAAATTTTCAATGAGAAACTGAAACAGATCCTTAACCAAAGAAATCAAGTACCCAAATAGAAAAAGGATATTCCTATGGAGGTAAACTACTTCACAGGCACCCATTCCTAATTGCAATCCAATCGGAGGATTAAACAGACAGCATTTGCTAGCAAATCTTTCAACATCAGAATCAAGGGATGTACTTCAATACAAAACAAGAAAAGTAATCAAGGTACCAACAGAAAGCAGGACCATAATAAATTTTAAAGTTTGAAAAAACCAACACACACGCACAAAGGATGATAAAACAGAGTAATAGTTAAACTATAATCTTCTCCCTCTGTTTTCTAATAACTAACAAAACGATTTTCTTTGTTACAGTCTTGAAGAAAATGAAACGCGGAAATTGAATTCTTCTCAAGCTCTTGCTAAACAAGCAATCGACCATTAATGAGTAAAGACTATTGACGAGCTTGAAACTTAAAATCATTCTTCCCTTGCCTGTTGCCTGAAAGCCCCACATTCAAATTCCGAAATACAGAGCAAGTACAAATACATTACAGCCAATAAAGCAGATGCCATGAACCTTGATGTCAGTGATTCTTGACTTTGAAAGGCTTTAACCCAGATACAGAATATGTTGTGCATATAGAGAACCTGTAAAATCTTTACAACTAAGCATAAGGTATATTAATAGAAGGATTTGCTGTGTTCTTTTGAAAAGTTAGCGAAGTTATCCCTATTATGCGGTAGATGTTTCCACTAAAAGAATTGTCTCCTATGGAATATATAATTGTGGTCCTTGGCAAGGAAAAGAGAAAAAGCAGGTTGACTCATTGGCTGGGACAAATCCTAGATTCTAAGTGGTTGACAATGCGGGTTCATGTCCCCATTCCATTTTTAAAAAAATTCCATTGCCATAGTAGGGACTGGTCACTTTTGCCCCCACTAAGTTTCAAACTTTCCCCCTCTCATCTGGATGAATGAAAATTTTCTAATGAGAATTTGGTATCTACCTATCTTTACTACACTTACCCCACTGCCCAAAAGTTTCGGATCTGTCATAAGGTAGGAAAAAGGATATTCAAATTTCTGTTTTCGATTAAGGAAATTCCAGTTGTAAATTTAAAACCCTGTCCTTCAATATTGTTCCTGTACCAATTACATACCCAGAAATTCTCAAACCATATCTCTCATAGTTACATCAGGAATTCAAGGCCCCATCCTTAACTTTTTTGAAAGCCAAAAAAATAAAAGATTAAAACAGAAATAACAGCATAAATTAAATGTCATCAAGTATGTGCATACTTAAAAAAGAAACGTAGGTTCTTGTTCCGAATAATAGAGGAAAGTTTAAAACTTCACAATTTGAAGTTCAAGCATGAAGCATCTATAACTAACAATCCATGCTGCGTTTACAGAGACACACCTTCATCTTATGTGACATGCTATTGCAGCAATTGAGGCAGCAATTTACCAGTTCATAGATATGTCATCAACAAAATATAAATCACTAAACAGCATGACATATCTTGCAGTACATTCAAGCAAAACCAAGGGTTGCTCCTAGAACCATTGCAATCAGAAAATTACCATTTGAACAGCACCATGGAAAGAATACTTTTATTTCTGCTAACATCATTCATTAGACAAATTGCAACAATATTCTAATATCAGTGTGATGTACTTCATATCGTTGACAACAAAAATTACATTATATATGTTTTTACAACCAGACATACTTTCAATTTCAACAGCTAATACAGTTTCACAGACCACTTCTGGCCACCGAATTCAAATCCTTAACACTACTCCTTCCAGCCTTGCTTCTCTTATAGCTCTTGGACGGCGTCAAATAGAACCTCAACAAGCCAGTGTCAGGATTATTGGGCGAATACCTAACACTCCGGTTCCTCTGAAACATAAATTCTTGCCTCCCATTCAAAACACTCCCTTTGCTCTCAGAATCCTCGGCTAAACCATCCATCCCACAGGGGCTTCTACAGCTAACACTATAGCTCCGCATAAGCTTCTGGCCAACAGGCTCACTTGCTTGCACATTAACCACCCTCCTCAGCCTCTGCAAAGACTCTGCAAGTGGCTTATCAGCCACAACCCCAGAATCACACTTTTCCTCCTTTCTATGAACTAACCCTAACTTGTTCCACACACCACGCCATTTGTGCAACTTCTTGAAACCCTTTTGCCTAACCCCATTGGCCACATCAACAACATCCTTGGAATCAGATTCAACCACAGAATCAGACTGAACAACATCACTGGAAGGCCTCCCATAACTATCCATCAACTCCTTCTCAGTAATCAGCAACTTGGCCCCATAGAAGGTCGCAGGAGACACCTTGGCGTTCCCGTTCGCATTTGCATTTGCATTTGACATCAATTTCAAGTCATCAACCCCTGCAATTGACTTTCTCCTACGAGAATTTGACCTATCAAAACCCAAACTCGTTCTTCCGCCCCCAGAACTCTCCAAACCACCACTGTCATTGGAATCTTCCTCCATCGAGGAAAGCCTCGAACACGACTTTCCAATCAAACACCCGTCCCATGAAGCGCGAGGACAATCAAACGACACCCTCCCGGCGTCAACCGAAAACCTGGGATCGGTGTCGCAGGATCTTCTCCCCAAATTGCAGTCTCCAATCTCCGATTGCGTGTCTCTCAAGCGCCGCGCTTTTCTTTTCTCCACGTTTCCGATTGCAGCCTTGCTATCGCCCTTGTTGGAGGAGGCGTGTTTCCATTTCCATTTCCTCAACCTCTGGGCGGCGGCGTTCCAGAAGGTTCCGGAATCCCTAGCGGCGCTCCTCCTGCGACGCTGAAGCTCGAGATCTATGAACTCTTTCACCGTCTTGGTATCCTGGCGGGAAACCCTAGGGTGAGGCTGGGAGGTGGGGCTCCGGCTGAAGAGATCGGAGAGGGTGCTGCGGGGGGTGTCATCGGGGAGGATCCCGGCGAGGCGCTCCCGGAGGCAGAGGGCGCAGAAGCCGGTGACGCGGGCGGCGGGGTGGCGGTGGCAGCGGCAGGGGTGGGATTGCGGAGTCATGAGTGGGAGAGTGAGAGTGATGGCATGTTGTGTCATGTGTTATAGATGAGACTGGGAGACACGCCATAAGTATGCACAGAGCTGTACGGAACCATCATCATCATCATTCATTCATTCATTCATTCATTCATATTCATGCTCATGCTGCAACCAAACCCTCCTTAAACCCACCACCCTCCACTTTTCATCGCTTCTCTTTTCTTATTTATTTATTTTATTTAATTCTACTTTTTAATTAATCCTATTAATTACACATTAAAACCAATCTTCAAAATTCGGTCACTTATTCTAAATTTTGAATTTTCATCAATCATTGCTATCATTTCTTGAATCACTTCATTACAAACTTAACCTCCCTCCTCAATGCATGTTTACACTAATTATGGAAAATAAATTAATTTTAATTTTAATTTTTTAGTGTAACTTTTTTTAATCATGAGTTGACCCGAAGGTTTGTGAAAATTTAAAAGTCAACCCTTGGAGAGCACTTTGTTTGGTTTGCCATTGACATGAAGCATGGGAATCTAATATTGGAGCACGAGGCAGCGCATTTCCCAAACAACACTTTAATTGGGATGCGAATCCAAAGTGGTCCGATACAGCTGTTTGTTTTGGTAACCACACGTGCAACCATTCTTGAAATTCTCGCTTTTAATCTCGGCTTTCTAAACCTATTTTCCCTAACCCTTTCTTTATAATCAATCTATGCTCATTGTGCAATAAAAAAAATATTCTAAAGTCATTGGGGTCTATTAAAGAAATACATTAAATATTGAAAAAACTAACCTTTTAAAAAATAACAGAAATAATAAATGAAGGAAAATTAAATTTTGTATGTTATTTCAAGATATTAAATATAGTTTTATATAATTGGTGTAAAAATACAGTAAGAAAATGTTTAGCATCACTTATTTGCTAAAAATATACGATGATGAATATTTTGTTTAGTTTCCTCGTTATGCAATATCCAATTGCTCTATAACTTCAAAACTATCCATAATTTACTAAGAACATGTTTATGGATAGCTGTCAATCTCAATCTATATATTAGTTGAAGGTGGGGCAAGTGTCACAATTTTAATTCTTCTTTTCTTCTGAGAAAACGATTAAGATCATTTCAAAATCAAACCACTTCTAAAGTGTGCTAATAATTTTTAACTCAAATATCCTCTTAAATCATTGCTTATGTTCTTAAGCTTGGTTGTTATTACTTCCGGACAAAATAACATTTTTACCAAAATATGATAATTTCTTAACGTTTAAGCATAAGACAATGATGTTTATACTGGTGCAGCTACTAGATTATATAGTACTCTGTTTTTTTCTTTAATGAAAACACATAGTTTCTTACTCTATAATTTGATTAACCCTTTAGCTTATGGAATCAAAATATCCAGTTTTAGTCTGAACCATGGCAGCACCCCATCTGGTATATATCACATCATGTTAAATCTGTGTAACAATCAAAGATATTTCGGCTCAATCACTGCCAAAAGTCCCATACAATCCACAAAAACCCTGAGTTTTATGAAATAAGTTAAGAGAGTTGAATTTGAGTGAGTGTTTTAGGCTTATACATGATTAATGCTAACTAGGTTAGTTGAGATTGAGAAGCTAAATAAATAAGAGCGTTGCTACAGCCTTAAAAAATAGAAGCCGAAAAAGCTCTAAATGATTAAGAAATTATTATTATTTAATAAATTTATTATAAAATAATTATTTTATAATAAATTTGTTAAAAAATAATAATTTTTTAATTATTCGGACAGGCCTCTGTTTTCCGGAAGATACAGCATTTTTTAATAAATAAATAAAAATGTGTCTTATAATTAATTTTAGTACTATCTGAGTTGTTACAGGAGCCTTTCTCATCAACAACACAGATATTTTAATCAAGAGGATTGCTACACGTTCCGAAAAATGAAACGAATCATCCTTCAAAATTTTAAAAAATTTATATTTTTTAATAAATTTATTATAAAATAATTATTTAATTTAATATTTTATAATTTAAACTATTTTTTTATACATTCGGAATATATTTCGGAGGTTGCATTTGAAAAACGAAGAATTTTCCTTTAATCAAACCCTAAAAAATATCACTTTTTTTTCTTCTAATTTTCATCATATAAAATTTTCCTTTAATCCCCATTTTACTATCCACACCCCCTGTTCTTAAAATTTAGAATGAAAGCCCGAAAGTACCCCTCCTCTCCGAGCCCATGAGGCCCAAATAAACTGAAGATCCCGATGATAACGTGAGTCCCACACCGACAAGTTTGAAGGTTGAGAAACGATGGAGAAGGCGAAGGAGATGCTGAGGGTGACGCAAGAAGAATCAGACGCCGTGTCGCGACTCCACTCCGGTCCTCACCTCAGAACCGGCGATAAGTCGTCATTCTACGAATACTTCGCCGTCGCCGGAATCCGAGTCGAGCGAGTCGAACCCGGTTGCGTCTGGTGCTCCTTCAAAGCTCCCTCTCGCCTCGCGGTAACCTAGTTTATTTCTCTTATGATAATGGGTATTTTATCGTATCTGTTCATAATGGAAGGGAAAAGTTAATGTGATTGTGTTACAGGACAGGAGTGGGAAGTTGGCGAATGGAGCAATTGCAAATCTGGTGGACGTGGTAGGTGGTGCGCTCATCCATGAAGAGGGTCTCCCCATGAATGTTTCTGTCAGCATGTCTATTTCTTTTCTCTCACCTGCCAACGTTGCTGTAAAATTTAACATCTTCCTTAATTCTCATCTTAAACCCTATTTTTTTAATCATTCATGTGCATATGCATGTGCATGTGCATCGGACCCTACTTTCACTTCATTAGAAATTTAAATTAGTTTTTTCATAGGCTAAAACTATAACTAACTTAGATATCTTAAAAAATAAGATTTTGAAATTGTTTAAAAGATGAATAAATTCAGTTTGGATTTATATGGGAAATAAAGAGTATTTTTCAGCTTAAAAACTTTCGATAGTAGTTATAAGTTTCTATCCAAATAGGCTTATAAGCTAATTATAGCTTATCAAAGAGCTTATTTAATTTTTCCTTTCTTAAGTGTTTCTGGAGCAATTTATGTTGACATGAATTTAATTTCTTGACCATGCATAAGGAGAAAACTTTATTAGGAGAGGCAAAACTCACTTGAGCATTGGGGGAACTTTGTGAATGTGTAAGCCTGAGATACCATTAATATTGATTGGATTACTTATGGTCTACATTGTAACGCCTGTATAGATAGATGTGCTATCCAATAGTCCAGTTAGTTCCTGCCAACCTGTCCTACACGGGTTTGGATCCTATATGGTTCTAAATGAACTGCTCACCATCGCAACCATTCAAAACGTGTAAAAACTTAACAGGAAAAAAAAATGAGACGTAAGATTGATTCTGTTCTGTTCTTAGACTGTCCCTTATCTGTAACGAGGGAAATGGATCTTCTGACTTTATAGAGAGAAAGTTATGATAACTTAATACATTTAAACTCTTAAATTTGTAATAAAAGATCAGATTGTAACACGTGTATATTTAAGTTAAAATATATATTATACACGTGTCACAATTTAATTTATTTTTATAAATTTAATAATTTGAATGTATTAAGTTATCATGACGTTTGTTCTACAGAATCTGAATCCGTAAGGAGAGTGCACACTCTGGAAAAGTGTTCTTTTGAATTTTGATCAATGTCAGTCTTAATTAATGTCTTGGGTTGTACTCCTGTGAACAGCAACAGAATGCGTTGTGAGAGCTCTACCCCCTTAAATGTTTTGGGTTGTACACTTGAGTTAGATTATACCGAGGATTTAAAAAAATAAAAAATAATGTCACTTTCTTAAGGTTCAGACCTAATAATGTTTGCAACATGTTTATTTTATGTATCCATTTGCAATTCCAACCACTTCTTACTACAAGACTTTTGCTTCAGATTTCATTAACAACTGGGTTCTTTCTTTTTTGCACCGCAATCAACTTCCCAACTTTCCTGCTCTTTATCTCCCAATTTCCCTTCTGCCGCATGCATTCTTGCAATATGAACCTTGCAGTTTAGGGCGTGACATGTACTTTTACTTGTTTTATATGTATGTGTATCATCATGCCTTATGCACATATTGACATATGTAATATGTTGCAGGATGAACTAGAAATTACTTCTAGGGTGTTAGGAAGGAATGGAGGTTATTCGGGAACAATTGTTCTCATTAAAAACAAAGCAACTGGAGAATTGATAGCTGAAGGTCGTCATTCACTATTTGGCAGACATAACAGCAAAATGTAATTCAATAGATGGATGTGCATGAAATATATGTAAATAAATGATGGTTTTGTTTGGCAAAATGGCATGTGCATTGAAAAGTGATAATAAATTAACAAAAATCCCCCGCCCCCCTCCCTTTTAACGTTGTTGTCTTTCATCGTTGTGTCTTGTGTGGCAAACATTTGTTATGTGTATATCGTGGGTCTTGCAATTGTGGTGACACGGACAAGTAAAGTATCGAGTATTTTAGTGTATCATGTCATATATTCATCGGTGTACAAAAGATGACTTTGAATATAAGATGTATTTTTTTTCTTCATTCCTTCCAAATTTGGGCCCACTATTTGTTCTATAAGATTTTTAAAATTTGATTGATTACAAGTTCTAGATTTATGTAGATTAATAATTTTCCCTTTAAAATTTCCAAGCACTTTTTTACTCAAAATTGTTAAAACTTAAGCGATCACAAGTTATAGATTTAATGATTTAATTATGGTTAAATAAGTAGTAATTTAGTGATACTATTTTAATTTTAATATAATATTTTTTGGTGGAAATATTAATATATTAAGCAACATTAAATAAAAACACAATATTTATAATTTTGTATTATTACAGATTAAATTTTACTTATGATAATAACAAATTAACTTATAATATTCAAAATTAAAAAGTGAAATTAAATCAAAATTTTCATAATATCAAAAGTGAAATGTAGTTTATATAACTATTATCATTGTAATATTGAGTTAAAATTGTATCAATTATCATAATATCATTTTTATTTTAAAATTATTATTTCTTGCAAACTGAATCAAATTATTTTGTTCAGTTTTGCAGGGTGAATTTCAGGTTAAATGAATCAGTTTTAATGTCCAACTTTGAAATGGTTCAATTAATTTTAAAATGATTCTTTTACGAAGTGTTGCATTTTTATTAGCTAATTTATTTCAACCAAACTATTTATAGAATTTTTTTATATATTTTAATATATCATTTTACTTTTATTTATAAATTAATTAAATACTTTTAAATAAATTATTAATGATTGAAAATAATATTGTATTACAGTATACACTATTTATGATAAAATCTAATACATAAGAATTTTTTTAAAATTTCTTAATACATTATATTTAAAACTGAAATAACATCATTTTGATTATTACTAATTCAATCATAATCCCTTCTATGTATAAATTAAAATAATTATAACCGAGAGTGTTTTTAAAAATTAATCTTTGATCAAAATATTTTTAGTTGTTTTTATTTGATAAGAACGCTTTAAATAATTCTTTTTAATCTCTTATCACTTTTGATCTATTATTTTTATTTTTAAGTTAAGAGAGTTGAATTGCAGTGAGTGTTTTAGGTTTATACGTGATTAATGCTGACTAGGTTAGTTGAGAATCTAAAAAAATAAATAAAAAATGTGTCTTATACTTAATTTTAGTACTACCTGAGTTGTTGCAGGAGCCTGTCTCATCAGTAGGGATGGCAACGGGGCGGGGCGGGTACGGGTTTCATGATACCCGTC